GCGGGCTATGTTGAGTGTGTGCGTTATGTGCGTTACTTAGAGGAATTCTGTTATAAGTTGACTAATTTCGACTTAATTAATATTTGTTATTCTGTCACGCCTATTAACAACTACAAAATATAGACACAAGGAACTGTTAGTACAGATAGATGGACAAAGTACACGACGGTTTACACGACTCCCAGGTTGGAATTCTAACCAATGGTTCTTATTGCTCTTTTCCGTAGGGCGAAGGCCTTTTTCACGTTATATACTTAGAGGAATTCTGTCATAAGTTGACTATTTTCGAGTTCATAAATTTATGTCGGAAAATCATGTATTACATAAAACTTTACTGTGCATTTTCTTTCGGTACAATGAAAATAATCGCTTCTCGTCCTAATCAATATTTTAATAGACTTCGTGAAGTCGATACGGTTCTAGCGTTTATTGTTAAAATTATTGCAAGCGATTAATCTGTTATTTGCAATGGTTGCTGAGAGATTTATGACGAGCGGTACTTATATTCGAATCGCAAAATTAATTTTCACGATTGCAATTATCCTTAGTATCTATTTAACAACTTTAGGACAAGCCTATTTTGGGAACAGGGCATTTTTTTAGTGTTACTTTGTTATTAATTTCTTTAAAGTCCAGGTTCTAAATTAACTTCAGAACTTCACATAGTATATACGAATGTTTGTAGTACTACCTGCGCTTAAGAAAATTAAACAAAAAGTTTTAAGGTTTAGTTTTAATTAGTATCTTAGCAAGTATGGTGGGTTATGGTAAGTTCATGGCCGCACCACCAAACAGTTACCAACATTTTTGCAAGTAAGTTTCATTTTTTGGCCAAGAATCCATTTTTGATTACAAATAAGTCATGTCGAGTCATTAATAGAATGCAACTTCCAACGCGATGTTGTGAACATGACTGCGTTCCGGTTTTGAGGGGTAAAGGTGCTGGTAAGCGAATTTTGGTGGTACAGGCATATGGGACTTGTCAACTTATGTTTCAGGGCTACTCAGGGTGACAAGCGCAATGGCAGTGCCCCACAGATCTTTTTGATTTAAAGCTCTCAATAGCACTGCACCTGCAATGGATATTCGTGTCGCTTGCCACCAGACGCAAGACTTGTTCTTCCCGTCAGTTGTCACGATAACAAAATGCGTGTGTTACATTTTTTAGTTATTGTATATTTCACAGATATAGCACAAATGTGTAATATATAATTTCAGTTCAATATTTGTGTCGATCAACTTTCATTCGATCGAATAATTATTATTAAAATCTGAAAATAGTGTTCACGCATAATAATCGACCGCCCACAGACGCTTTGAGAATGTGAACAATAAATCAAATACATAATAATAATATCATCACTACGCCGATATAGCTTCGCCAATACCAAGATGTGGATCGAAAATTATCCTCGTGTTTTCCATTGCTTATCGATTCTGACGTGAGTCGAACAATATTTGCCGTATAAACAAAACAGGAAAATTATTGTTTCGAAATATAATGTTTTCATGCAGACGTGAATAAATTTAATTAAAATGTTATAATCCTCTTTATCAGTTTCAATTTGAATGTTTGTTTATTCACGTTTATTTGCTTTAACAGAAAATGCTTCGATGGACAAAGTTGTGATTGTTTTATTTATTGTACAAAACGTTCTATGCAAATACATAGGTATTTTGTGGTTACAAACTTTAATGGAAACTGTAGCAGTGTTCTCGATTTGTGGCAATTCAGAACACGCCCGACTGCGCGATGTTACGAACACTTACTATGCCAGAACTGACTTAGTTTACTCAAACAACAATTGGAACACTTTGCATAGTGACTTCCAAAACCTGCAACCATGTAGGCAGACACTATTCAGAATATCTAAGTACATTGATATTTAGAAGGTTGTGGATAAGTCAAATAATCATTTATTCCATAGCTACAATAAATTTACACTTAAAAACGTCACTTTTAAGCTACTATTCGTTCACTACGCTGACTTCCCTGAGAAGAACGAGCAAGAAACTCTAGGGATTGCACTTTTCAAATAAACTTGAATGCTATGGAATACACACTCAACATACACACTCAAAACACTTTGTAGGTATACACTATGAATCAAATTTATGTGGAATCTAGAGCCATGTCGTCTTTCCATATATCTTTATCTAATACGTAGTCTTCAATTTTGTATTACGACTTTTCAATTAATATATTTTTATTGCAGTTTTTAAACTTAGGAAATGATAATCTTATTATATTATGTTCCGGAATCTCATAGTTCCCTATAAGAGTCGTTTACCTTGGTTAAACGAAATCGTGATACCATGAGTTTGGTCATAGCTCTAAGTTAATATTATGCATATCTTCTTTCTTATTGAAATTATGTATATTTTTACGGGCATACAAAATATTTGAGTAAATGAACTGTGATGCCACAGAATTGTTCTTAGCATTCGATCATTGTATTAATAATTATAATAAAATAAATGTTATGAACCATTTTAATATACGGCGTTCGGAACAATGATTTTTTAAAATTATTGTACAAAATTGGCATTCCGGGTTTAGTGAAGAAAAAATGTCCTGTGGGCTGACCAGCGACCTCAAAGTCATCGTAAGCATTCGCAGCAAATAACAAAGTTTATTACCACCGACACCCTATCTTTATGATAATTCATAAGATTGCATTGAGAGTGGCAAAAAGCAATTTTATTTATTTATGCATAGAACATTGGCTATAGAGCCATTAAATATAGAGCGGTTAATTGATTAATCCAAAAGAGTACCCCTTAAGAATTTTGCCAGTATCGAGTTTTTAAGTTTAGTAATTTTAGAGGATTCTGCACGTTCTGTTATTCATCGAGTACCTATTGCATAAGAATGCTAAAACTAAAATTTTATTCGTGTAACTACAAAAACCCTTTATTTTTTCCTTATTTTTCTGTCAATTCTCAGACATTTGTAAGATTTCTGTCTGTCTTGTCACAATCTTTTAAAATAACACAACTTTTTAGACAACGACAATGCAATATTATGGTGTATAGAGTTATTCCAGCGTTTTCTTAAGCTTGAAATGTGGAATTAATAAGATATCATCATTCAGTATACAGTGTTTACGGTAAGTTCTTAAATGTTCAATGAATTACAATTTATATAGATTTTAGGACTTTCGTGGTTATTCACTAAGTGATTATCACTAATGTCAGGTTTCTTACCACGGTATGACTTCTTTTTATTTTCCCGATATTTCGGAACGATTGCACGCCCCATGGTCACGGATTGAATGGACGACGGCAGATGACTACCTTCTACACTGGACACCGGGTGTCTATATAGTGAACTACAGTTGTGGGAGCTCCTATATCGGTCAGACTAAACGAACAATTGTCGACCGTATGAAGGAACATATCCGAGCAGTCAAGTTTTAAATTAAGAATCGTGATATTAGTGATAATCATTTAATTATAATTTAGTATTGAGTTTACTCTAAAAGTTTGAAAATTATAATCGTTTTGAAAATCCGCAATCACCCCTAGAACGGCCTTAGAAGTTGGCGTCAGCTTCATAAAAATCTGCACACCTATACTTCATGTTTACTTTAGATACGATAAATGATGATCCTCTTCTACATCTTCCTAAATACAATGAGTATTTTCTGCCCTTCTCAAATTTAAAAGATAGGCTCTTATTGGTGCTATAAACGCCGTTCAGTCCTTTGCTTTTTGGTTTATATATAACGGAAGTTGTGAGAATTGTGTTCAAAGGCTTATTACCCGCCTGCGCGACAGTAAATACGGGGTTATGATTTTTGAAAGAATGTATAGACGATTTGCTGCAAAAGCACTAGAAGAAAAGTCAACCTAGATGAAGTAGCTAGAATAATACAGATAGTGACAATTTCATTTCGATCACTCCTTCAGTTTGCCACAAAGTTCCACAGAGCTCGTTTTCTGCAACGATAAAAGATATCCGCGTCTCGGTACAGTTATAGGAGAAGCTTCTTTTATTAGCTTTACTTTTGAAATGGTCTGCTTCTTTATGCATCTTGCTAATACTTACTTTTTACTGTCTATAGACTTTACATTACAGGGGCTATTTTTGTATTTTGTTTTAAACATTGTGACCATAACTAGACGAACACAATAAATATTGTTCATATTTCGTATTTCCATCACATAATTTAGTCAGAGAATAAAATCCATTAATAAGCTTTAATGATAAAACGATTTGTTAATGAAATTCCATAGATTTGTAACGGCTAACACAGCTATAGATAATTAATTATATCTATAGGCTAAAATGACGTAAAAAAAAAGAACACCTTATAGTATTTTGTTAAATGTTCTAGTTAATCTGAATTTGAAATTATTTCAATGTCACAGTTTCAATTAAAATTCCGTGTTTAATTTGAGCAAACACAAAAACATTTGATATTATAATAACATTTGCTTATAAATTATTCATACTCAAATGCAAAATATATACATACTCAAAAATTATTTTGGGCCTCAATTAATTATATTTTTTTACTGCAGTATAAAATAATATCGTAATAGATACTTTCAAGCAAAAACTTTTATATGAAAACAGAACTGTGACATATACCGCACTCGTATACTGTACGTTTACTCTAAATGAAGAGTCCATGCGAATCGACACGAATTTAGCACCGCTTGAAAACATTCATTCAACTCAAATGAGCCGTTATTGGAAGGAATAAAATGCTGCAGAGAAACCCTTCCAAAAGAATTCATGTCAATTCCATGCGATCAGTTTTTTATAGACCACGTTCCATTTCATTGCCGGTCGTGAAAAGAAATTGAACTCGTGGTGGCGTAATTGTGATGCGTTCGTAAAAGTCCCTTTAATATTAATTCTTGATTGATACCTATATGTCTTGTAATATGCACCATTATTTTCAGCGGATTTCCGTCTTTCCTTGCCCCATTTATATCATTTCAAGATACTTTGAATCCGCAGTGAAAACTTATTGGAGATTATTTTTCAGCGCACCACTCCAGCACCGAATATCAATCTTCCGGAGCTACCTGAATGCATCACCAAGTTAGAATTATCGAACATTGAGGGAGATACCTCAACGCCACTCAGTGCTCAGCATCAACTACAGTTACTAAACGAGAGGCTGGAACAGCAAGCGCAACAGACGCGCGCCGCTGTCGCGCAGCTGCTGTTGCTGCGGGATCAACTTGCTGCCGAACAAGCCGCTCGCTATGAAGCCCAGGTATTCTTATTAATTCTGGAACTTTCCGAATATTCCGATTATAGCCTACTTTGTCTCTGCACTCTATATTTTTATGCAGTATGCTATATGGTATATACGGTTGCAGGATTTTTATTTAGCCACTCATCGTGTCTCCTGCTGAGTTGTACCTCTTTGACTGTGGTGTTTAAATAGAACTTTCATATCAGAATACTTTATCATGACAGTTTTACACAACGTATATCAATCGTAATGGATGTAAGAATAGTTACGACAACTGCCAAAACAAATTGTCTCCTAAACAAAAACCAGTAGTTCCAACGTTGTAGACTCCCCTTACACTGGCCAACAAATATCACAAATTTTCATTAGTAATCTAAAACAAATTGTCTCCTAAACAAAAACCAGTAGTTCCAACGTTGTAGACTCCCCTTACACTGGCCAACAAATATCACAAGTTTTCATTAGTAATCTACATGAGAGATCAAGTTAGTTTATGAACCTCTTTTTATTCATTCCGAATAGTAGATACGAGACAGGATACGAGAACTTGCAACTTGGTTGCAATGGTATTTCGGTGATTAAAACTAAAATTCAAACGTTAATATCAAAAAGGAGTTCAGCCATAATTTGAAGCTTCGGATTAGAGGTAAATACATTTCCAATTCCTACAAAATGTACCTACTGGCTACGCCGAGCAAAACAGTCGTTACGTATTCGTATCCTACTTTGGGTACCAACAATAAGCGAAATAAATGAGCAAGCGACACCTCTCGAAAAAACGAATAACAAACATGAGGGGTTAACGCGCGCTTTGCATGGTAAATAAAATGTTATTCGGGTATATTTGCGCATTTGTGTTACAGAAATAGCATATTTGCCACTTCGTCGCCTAATCGTATCGATTTCTTTTCTGTCACAATTTCTTTAACTAGCTCATTACCACCTACTACTATATACTTTCATTTATAAATTTATAAACAGGCTGCGTTACTTTTGAAATCATAGCATAATCATAATCCTTAAGCAAGCAAATTATATTTAGAATCATCAAAATTATTAAACACTACTGCGTATTCGTAAGGCAGACACAAATTTTAACATTGATTCTACAGAAATCTTTGATGTTTTGAACCTGTCGGCATTGGCCACATTGTAGGTTTACATGTTTAAAAGTATAACATTGTGATGTAATAGAAAAATAAACAATTTTTACAATAGTGTGGACCAGTGTTTCCCAAACATTGTTCTGCTATAGCCCGGCAACTTTCATACTGCTTCTTCGTGACCCACTCAATACTTTAAACTGCTGCCAAGCTGGTTACATTAAGTAAAGATACACATTTATTGTTAGTAAAAATGTTTTACTAATATTATTTCGGTATCGCATATTTAGTGCGAAGTACGGAGCTGCCGGTTATTTTTTACTAAAGAATCCAAGTTCGCTATCCTGAGGTCTGGTTCCACTTCAACAAGACGGGAATGTTGCGACCCGGTATTTTATTTTGAGAGCCCGGTACTGGGTCGCGACTCACCAAATGGGAAACGCTGGTATAGACCTAAATAATCTATTATTTTACATTTTTACGCACTACTGTTTTGACAAAAAAAAAAAATTCTATGCTACCCGGACTTTTTAATAGACAACGAATATTTTCAAGATGTTTTTTTAACAATTTCGCCAAGGTTTGAAACAGGCCAATTTGAAACAGTTTTCGTTATGACATGCTAATTTTCATTAATTTGTTGTTTATATTGCGCCAAATATTCCAGGCTCGAACTCACCAGCTGTTAGTTCACAACAAAGAGTTATTGGAGCATATTGCGGCGCTGGTCGCTCATTTGCAAGAGCGTGAACGCGGGTCGTCCCGACCTATCAGCGCGCAGCAACTTACTCTCTTGCCACAGGTAAAAACCAAAGCATAGCACAATCAGACAGCCAACTTACTACTTGGAATGAACAAATTATCTAATCGGTACCTTAAAGCGGTTACAGCAACTTTTGGCACCGCGTCTGCAACGATTAAAGGAGCATCCACACACATCAGGGACGTGCCCGGGACGTGGACGGGGCGTGCTAGTTTGTATGAACTGCGGGCCCGTCCCGGCGCCGGCCCAGACACGGACATGTGTGAACGAGTTCATACAAAATATACGCAAGGATATTTTTTGAGCCCCTGACAGAGCACGGCCCGTCCACGTCCCGGGCACGGCCCGGATATGTGTGAATAGACCTTTAGTCGCGATGCAACGCGATGCACGTTTCTTATGCTTTTCATATTCATTTATTTCTCTAATATTAAAGTAAGCATAAATTGCACTATATGTCAAAGTATAAAAAATTATATCGGGATCGTCAAACAAAACTAAAAAATACACGATAGCGTTATATTTTAAGGTCCATAAATTCGTTTACAGAGTATAATGCGACGCTATAGCGCGTTTCAGTTTGTATTGTTGCAAAAAGTGGCCGCGTGAATTTTTTTGTACCCGCTTTAATGTACCCGTTTTGTTTCTTTCATGAGTTACTTCATCCTATTTGTAGTACCATTAGAAATTTCCACTTCGTGTTACGGAATGAGTGTGAAGTATCTAATTATTTTTCATTTAAAAAAGAAATATTCGTTGCCTAGGAAATTGCCTGTTTATTATACTTACGTACATTAAAATTCGTTGAAACTTACGAACTTGGTAGAGTGAAATGAATATTTATGTTAATTACCACCCACATTGTTTTCCGTAAAACTGGGGTTGAAATGCAATACATTTTCAAAAGGAATGCTAATGAGTATATCTAACGTAGGATGGTTGCTTTTGCAGCTGGTATACACAAAATAACGTACTTAATAGGTAAGTGTTTACAAAAGTTCTTTGCCAGGTTCATAAGTTTTCTACAGAATCCAGTTGCAAAACATTCGATTCCTTATTTAATGTTCAACGGTTACCTAACCATGGTACTAATACGGCTATTTCAATAACACTGTTGAACCGAAATCAAGCTAAGTCTTCGTCGCTAAGTCGTAAGACGCGTTTTGGCTATAACTAATGTTATATCGGTTACAATACCAACATTTACCTTTACGATCAGTAACAGCTGCAGTCGTATTTCTACCATTAATGTAATGAGCCACAGAAATACTTAAAGTAGGTACTTCCTACGATACGTTTTCTCTACCTACACCTTCCTTGCATTTTGATGTTATGGTTTGCCTGATATTTGATACTTGAGACGTGTGAACATATTATTTTTTTTACATAATAAACTGTGTTGTATGCAAATGTGCGTTGGAATGTTCTTCATGGCATGAGTCGTTCGTTTGTAGTATAATCGTAATCATCATTGCCTTTGTACTTTTTATTTATCATGATCATGAAACAGAATGAAACCTCATATCTCGTCAACATCCAGTTACAATTAACCAATGATTTTATTTGCTGCATCTGTGTTGTCCTATTTGTTATGTACCCATACTTAAGTTTATATTTTCTTAATCATGAACTCTCGTTATATTTTAATATCACTTTTAAAATATCTCTCCTTCGTGTTTCTATTTGCATTTTATTTCTGAATAATGTATATTAATAATGGTCATCAATTTGTTGAAAATGTACTTTGTTTAATGGTTAAGTTGATGTAGGAGAATGTTTAAACCGTTTTTCACAAAAAATAATATAGTCTTACTGGTTAGTGTGATTTAGCAATTGTCGGAAAAAGATGTTCCACATATATAGATACATGTATAGATATAGCCACAAGGAGCGGCATGGAGTTGTTAAAACCACCAAATACTAATTAATTGCTTTTACGAATTCCGAGTTTCCGGAAATGGTTTTACTGCATCGTAAGACAAAACTACTGATCTAGGAAGTCGAATTTAAAGTAATTCTAATAGTGCCATGTAAAAAATGGAGTAAGTGGATAACTGACATTTTACCAAAGCAGAGAATAATAAAGTAACAAGAATGGTCACTCTCTGCCCGTCCCTAGCTTTAAATAACACACCGCGCCCTGCATATTGACTGTCACATTGACGGAACGGCAACAAGGCCTAAAATATCTGACATATCTACTGCATTTTTTTATATGGCACTATTAGTATTACTTTAAAATACAACTTCGACTTCCTAGGCCAGTAGTTTGTCGTAAAACCATTTCCGGAAACCCGGAATTCGAAAAAAGAATAAATTAATATTTAGTGGTTTTAACAACTCTATGTCGCTCCTTGTAGCTATGTCTTTACATGTATTTATATATGTGGAACATCTTTTTTCGACCATTGATGATTAGATAAATAGTATCTACAGCGTCTTTTGCTGCGATGCATAAACAAGATCTACAACAAGCACATGGAGAAATTCGTTATGTGACTGGTTCTTTTCGTTAGGCGAGCGTCAGCCACTGTATAGCGAAGTCGCTGATTCGAGTCCAGCCGGATCGAATCAAGTTTTCTTTGTGTTCGATCTTTGTATTAATAATTTTATAAAAAGAATTATTTACGCTATCGTAACATGAAGATAATTATACATTATTGCTGTTTATTTCCTATGTTATAGTTTAGTTACTTGTGAGTTCGTAAATATTGCTGAAAACGTTGAAAGTGATAGTATGTGTATATACCATCAATAAAATATAACATTAAATGTAAGAAGCAGTAGAGTTGTAATAACCTATTTATGGCAATTTTTATGAACTTTCCGTAGAATATTGATGTCCACTGGCACTAAATTTAAGTGCGTCTTAAACCAATTATTGCGATGCAAAAGACACTTTTAATACATTGTGTTAAGAGCGTCTTATCAATTTAAACATCGGTTCAATACGTACTTATGTTTAATGCCAGGGAACATGTGTCTTCTAAAGTTTATGACTTTTATAAGTTTTGCTTTATTTTTTATTTGCATTACTCAATTTATGTACTTAACTAGTTGTTGCATGATTTGATGTGCGAGATTTCAATTATATAAAGTAGTTTTATTTCTTATTGAACTGTTAGGTAAAAACCTTCTCCACATGCTTACATTTGTCTTACAGATTTTTCCAATTCCTTGTATGCTCCACTCTACCTCGCATCATCTTTTTTATATGCCTCAACTTCTGTATCCACCTTTGACATCCATGATGTAATCTGGCTTCCAATCAGCCTGTGTCGTGTTTCCCGTGCTTGAAGTCATACTCAAGTTCTGACTTGAGCATTGAGTATAGTTCTGGAATACGATCCTTAAACTCCGAGTATGCTGTATTCTATATCTTTCTGGCAAACCTTGCGATTGTACATTAGTACAATCGCAAGTATAATTATATACATAGTGGCCAAGGATTGAGTAGTGTAAACTACGATGGGCAATGTGCACATGTTGGCAATTTTACGCTCTAAAAGTTTCTCTTCATCACGCAGAAGCTTTCTCAGGCGCTATAGACTTATTCGCTTTTCGCCGCTTTCCTCAGTCGCCACAGAATATCAGCGGCGCGTCGGGTTGTTTTTCATACACAATCCAAGGAGCGCTAAGAGGAGACCATTTAATAAGATTAACTTTGTATTAATTACAAAAAATGAAAAAAATATACGTTTTTTTTTCTTTCTTTGTCTTACCTATTTTCGAAGTTTACTGCCTTGCTAAGACAGGCTTAGTTGTCGACACAATGACGTATTTCTTGCCCATCTACGTTGACTGTTCATTATCGTGCCATTGGTAATTAAATTGGAAATATAATTACAATTTAAACAAATGTCATCCGTAAGTTTCCTATAGAAAACAGTGTCTCATTCCACAACAGGCTTTCAGCTTTTAATCTGTTTTTTGCCTCATAACTTGACTTTACTACTACAGATGAAAGTCATGGAATCGCCTACAGAGATGAACAAAACTGAGAAAGCCGCTTCTCCCAACGGAAATAAACAACTACTTGACACTGAATCACTCATAAATCTACTCACTCAAAGCAACAAAGTGACCCAAAATGTCGAAAACAATAACATTCGTCTCTCACCGTACGGCACGTCACCAAACAACCCTGGCTCGCCAGTTAACGGACCGAAGAAAGCCCCTACCTTTGATGGTATGACTAATGAAGAAATTCAAAACTATTTGATAGAAAAATTTCAAAGATTTGATTTTGGCAGTGACATTAAAGAACCGAGCCCTAGTGCCTTTAGCAGCAATCAACACTTTTTCCAAAACAGCCGAGCCTTTCCGAATATACCGCCGTTGACTAATCACTACAGCAACAGTGACTTGGCAAGTCTACTCGACAACCAACCATATGAGGAAAATAGTTTACTGGGAGACTTTGGAGTTATGACTCAACCAATGGTCGTTGGCCACTCACCGAATTCACTCACTAATAGTAAAGATACGTCAAAGGACTCATCTCCGACTAGCTCCGAGGAAGGTGTGCCATTTATAATGCCTCTATCACATAATGGGACTCTTACAGCCACCGGAGAAGATGGGCGTATGCGACTTATTGTACCAGTCAGTCCTTCTCCGAGCTCATCTGACGTTGTAAATATCAAAATCGAAGCTCCTCCAGAGAGCTCTGGAGCTACACTAAAGGTGCCCGATGCAGACCGACCAAATCCTGCAGGACCCATAACCCGTTCCACCAGTGAGAAAGTCCCCAACCGCAGTGAGATGATGACTGCTCTGCGAGCTCAATGGACCAGGCATACCACAAAATAGATCTGAAGTACTTCTTAGCTAAACGAAAGAAATTAGTGTGGAAAATTACTATAAAATTTTGTTTTAATTAATTATTTGTTATAAGTACAAAGGAAATCATTATGCATAGATAATTTAATTTAAGTATTTTCTTTTGACTTCTTTAAAAACTGGAGACTAAGAAAGGTGCCAAAATTTATGAGCCAAATCAATTATTGTCGGTGTAAATTAGGTTAGAAAAATTAATA